ATTAATCTGTTGCACATCTTCCCATTGAGAGCATCATTGCTTCCTTATCCTACATACAAAATCATTGTGTTGACTACATAGCTGGCATGTTATTCCACAGTAATAAAAGAAAAATCCTTATTATTTTAAAGATAGACCAGTGATCTTCATTTATCAACTGGACAATTTATTCTTTTAAACAATTTTAATAATACCAAGATTTGACTTTCCCCTAAAGTTATAAGAAAGCAAAAATATATAATATATATAATATATAATGGCAATAAATAAAAAAAGGCAACCCTGCTCAGGTATCATCCAAAACATGATCACATTCAGAGAAAAAAGAAGAAAAAAATTTAGGAGACACGCACACACACGCACGCACACACACATGAACAGTGTACACTTGATATTTGAAGGGGGTGTGTAGTAATGTTAACAATACATTTGAAGGCCTGAACAGAAGGCGGAGTTAATACTGCCTGTGTTAAAAGTTGCTTAAACATCTACTTTTAAGCAAAGTGAATTCTCTTCCTCAGGTGAGCTGCTACCTGGTCTGACCAGTGCAGCTTGGCCAGCCTTGCTGTCAGTGGTCTTATTCCCTTGGCCTCTTAGGCCGATATATTAATATATAGGCTCACAAGGAGCTGTGTGCTTCCTCTCTGCCCTACTGGGCTCTTCGTATAGGCACTTAACATCACAGTACCTGTTGATATTTGATACACTGTGGGACAGAATATAGTGTGATTTCCCTCTGGACCATAGGAAATCTACAGCCATTTTCAAAAAGGTGTTGGGTGGTGCTTGTCAACTCATAAATAGGAGCGAAAGCACATGGCCAGTGCTCACAATTCATGAAGGGCTGGCATTCTCAGTCACACCACTGCACTGGTTTGGAGAACCCACCACTAGACTGCATATTTGAGGTTTACATGGTAGAAAACACCACTTGCAATATTTGAAGCAGAATCCTCAACACCATGTTATTCTGCCACTCTATCTCCCCCCAACAAAATGACAAAAAGACAAGAGAGGCACAGAAAAAAATACTTTATGTCCATTCATTCTAAATGGGACCAGAAGCATAAACAAAAGAGGCAACTCACTAGAGAGGAGAAAAAGAACAAGTACCGCCACAATTGATCCTGATGTTACTCCATGGCTCTCCCCGAGTGAGGAAGTCCATCCTCTGTCTTTCTAGAAGAAGCTCAAAATATTCTTGTAAGATTTAAATACTGCTTCTCAGTGGTGGTGGTGGTAGAGAGTGGTACAGATGAAGTGGCAATTTTTCAAAAAGTTTGTGTAGTGTCTGGGAAAAGAGACCACTAAAAAAGGAGAACTGTGGTGGGATGCAGGAAGATTTTTTTAAAGTACATTTAAAAAAAAAAACAAACACTTATTTGATTCATTTATCTGAAGATGGACAATGAGACCTCAAACTTCATGAAGAAGAAGAAAAGGTGCAAAGTCCCACATAACATTCTTTGAAACCATGACAAAATAAATAGAGTTATCATTTCACAATTAGGTTTGGTCACTAGAGGTGCAATAAATATATATATCCAACTTAATCAGCCCCTTGCTCTGATTATGTGTGCATATATACTTTACATAGATAGTCTTCCTTACATGAGAAATAAGAGTTTTATTCATTTTGGAGGGCACAATTGTTTCTTTTTGCTTCTGAAAATTACTGAACATGACTCATCATACTAATAATAGTATTATACTAGTCATAGGAAGTTTCTGATCCTCCTAATATTTAAGATACCAATTAAGATACATTTGCAGCCAGAAAGGGGTAGTCTGTTGGCTTCTCAATATCCTGAGACCTGGAATTAAAGGATATAAAAAATTGAAATTATATGGTCCAATTTGTCCAGAAGGAAACAGGTATATTTTTGGGTCAAAACAGACCAATCTTTCATTCAAAAACCTCATATTTTCCCCATTCAATACTGTGATCAAATCATAACGTCTGATAGTCAAATTACTGTAATTCCATTGTACCTGCCCCTTCTCTTTATCAACAATAGCATGTAACCAAATTTTTCACATTGTTAACTGTAATTTGGTAAACTTCAGTAAAGTGTTTTTGTTTAGCAGGGCTGTTAGTCTGATGAAAATACCAAGTTCAATTCATTCACATTTTTAATTATCTCCAGAAAGGACAAAAATATTCAACACTTTTAAAAGTGTTCTTCCATTTCCTATTAAAGACAGTCACACACACACATGCACACACTCATAAAACTGTAGTGCCAAAGGCAAGATTTCATACTCTATTTTCACTCCTTCAGATATTCTGAGATCTCTGTATTTGTCTCATTGTAAAGTCTGTACTATGATTGTTGTTTTAAGAACTTAACATATTCAAAGGCTTGTTTTATAAGCTAGTCCTCCCAATTACCTGCCTCAGTACAGATTTTGCCTTTGGGAACTTAAGTATGTGGTGAAAAAGTGCAAATGATTTTTAAAAAATCCTTTAGATTTCTATATACAACTGTAACAGCAAAAAGACACTGTGAACATTAAGGACCCATCGGCCACTGCCTTTTACACACCCTATGGGAAAGGTGGCCAGCATGGATTCTCTTTTGGGCCTAATGCATGTTGCAGGAAGATGGTGAAAGACCAAAAACAGTACATCTTGATCTATGTAAATATGTTAGTTTTTCAAGAGGTAACTATATTTTAATATAGAGGTCAGCAAAACATCCACAGAGAGTAAGGCCACGGAAAAGGCAATCTCTTCTTTTAGAACTGGCTTAGAAATTTCCTTAGAGATGTCTTCAGTCGAGGGAATCTTGTGACTAGCTGAAAGAACACGCACAATGCCTCGGCCCAATCTGCATAACTCAGAACTGGTCATCACATGACCCTTTGAAATGTATCGGTGGCTTGTTTGGGGGAGTGACGTGGAGAAGGGGATGGAGACGGTCAGGACCGTAAGGATAGAAAGATGTTAAATCCTCACATATGCCTGACTGTTGTGCTTCATCCTCTACACATAAGCAACAGACAAGCAATGCCACAAGCACACAACCTACCAGGCAGGCAGTCACTGTTCATTTAGCAAACAGTTGTTTCTTAAGCCAGCAGTTTAGAAAGGGCTGTAGCTCTGCTTTACATCAACCAATGAAACTGGCCCATGACCACCATGGACTGATGTGTCAGGTTCAGCTGTTCCTGCTGCTCTCATGCTCCGGGCTTTAACCTAAACACGAGGTAACTGACCTCTGTGCTGGCCAGTGATAACAGGCTGGACAAGAAGCTGAAGCAGCAGCTGCACATAAACAATTGGTACCTGGAGAAATAAGCACTGCTCCCGCCCTCTCCACACTCCCATGTGTATTTACCAAGCTACCGAGCACGGGCTTGCACTTATCAGAGGGACTTAGACTTCTTTATTATAAATAAGATGGCACACTTCCTTCCTCCCTAGTAAATAAAGATGACAATGTCAAACATGCATGGTAGGAAAGAGCGCATACAGAAGGCCAGCATGGGGTGGGGAGAGAGGAATAAGCCAGTTTGTTCTATAGATGACACGCTCCTCAGTTTTAATACACGTACACATTCTACTTCTTCTAAAAGGGACAGAAAGAATTGGCTTTTAAAAACACTGCACTCAAAATAAGTTTCCAGTTGAACCTTCTAAGTTGCAACAAAAAAGAAAATCTGTGCTCATGGATACGTGGAAGTTCTGAATGCATTCTTTCATTTTAGGTCATTCCAAATGAACTTGGTTTAACGTATATCAATGTATGGCAATAACAACTTAGGGGAAGGTCACAGCTTCCCTTCAATATAATCCCACGTGGCTGACTGAGAACATGGAGTGAAGGCAGGCGGTGATGATTTCTCAAGTCTAATTAACTCCCCGAAATCTCCACATCCTCTCAGGCAGTTCCATTCCCTCCTAGACAACCAAAGGCTCTGAAAGTCTAGTTTTGCTATCAATATAATTTGTAGCAGAAAAATACAGCCTTTTTAAGAAGTAGATTTCATTTTTCTTTGTTCACTGATAAAACTGAGTTGGTTGGACAACATGAGTTCCCACCTAACTGAAGACTCACAGACAAGCATCTCAAATTCCAGCTCTGCTTAAAGAGAAGCTAAAAAGCACTCTAACCGCCTGCTCAGATACAGATGTTGGTTCCCTTCTTCCCCATGGCAGGAAATTCAAATACAATCAATGGTGACTGTCCCGTGAGAGTCCCTTTGACTGAAGTAGGGCATGCAACTGGAAGCGCCAGGTCGACCCCTAGGACATGGGGATCTTGAGACGGTTCCCCGCAGGCTGTGGCTCCTTTTTTGACTGCTGCAACGAGGCTGGCTTCCAGTTCGGTAATGGCAACATCAGAGCAGGGTGAACATGCAGTACTCCAGGCCATGGGGCCACCTTCGATTTTATAAATTATGACAAAACATGGTATTATCAAAGCCACAGTTCACTGGCAGAAAGTGGAGTATGGTGAAGTCTTTAGAATATGTTTTACAGATGACTGTTTGAATTTATTAAACAACTATTTCCCAAAAAACGTAAAAGAAAAAAATATCATCCCACAAAATTCTACACCAAAAATCATTTTAAAAAAAAAAATTTCCTTCGGGGAACGGACTACTATGGCTACTGAGATGATATAAATTTGCTTTCAGAGTTGAAATTGCTTCTCCTCACCTTATTTCATTTGCAACTTTCATCCTGCTGGTTAAAAAAATATGGAAATGTTTTTAGACCATTCATATGACCATATAGGCTACATTGCACTTCTGTCCTTTAGTCAGGAAAGGCAAAATCATCTCTGAGGCTCCTTATCTCTGCTTCTGTATAACCATTATGTCCAACCAATGATCACACAGTTCTTGAGAATTCAAGTGGACAAATGTCTGAGCCATTTCATGGTACTTCTCTTTTTGAGTTTGGTGTCCTGATGAGACAAATGTCCAGACTATTTTTGAGGCTTTCAATGTGCAAAAAAGTTCCCAAGGCATTGAATCAACTTGGGCCTCCATTAAGGTGTTTTGGTTACTTGTTTTAGCCGCTGAAAACCCTGTCTTATGTAGTGTACCAGGTCCATCAAACTGCTGTTGAGGGCCAGGGCACACACGCTTGTGCTGAGCTGAGCAAAGAATTCTGGAAATAAAATAAAACCAAGTAAATACAGATGCATACACAAAAATAAAAATGGATAAACAAGAAGCTAAGCTTCCAGAAATCAGGGCCCTACAGTATTTTGCAATTCATCTATCACAACAAAAAAAATTGTTAAGTGCTGGAACTGCCTGTTAGTTCTCCATATCCTTCCACCAGGCTAATGGAAAGAACTATGCTTGTTTTATAGTTGAATCCATCACACTTAGCACAGTACCTGGGACTCAGAAAATACCCAATTTACACTTCCAAATCTATGGATGCATAAGTGGAAAAAAATAAAAATAAAAATAAAACATATAAAAGCATCATGAGTTTCTTAAGATTATAAAGTTCTAAGAGGGTGTGGGGAAATTGACTATAGCCAGCTGGCCACCATCTTCCGTAAGGAAGCAGCCAGGAAAAAACATGTAATAGCCTTATGTTGGCATTCACATGTTGGCATTTCCTCAGTTTATTGGTTGTCTACACTGACACCACGCAGTCCCCCTACCACCATGCTTCTCTGTCTCCTAAACCTTGAATTTCTCCAAGGGAATCCTTCCCAAATTCACCTCCAGAATGCTCATGTGCCATCTCTCCTACTATCTCTAACCATTTTTCTTAACATATACTGAAAAACAATATACTATTTGAGTTGTGGTACTTTTATATAAATCTCAAATTTGTCGAGCCTAGAATAGTCAGTGTCTTCTTTGTTTGTGTCACTCTTTTACTACCATTTTAGTTTAGGGTGAGATGAAGGCTCTGGAATTATGAAGAGGCTAGGTGCTAAAACCAGCTCCTTGCTACAGAATTCAAGAAAGAATTGCAACTAGGTTATGACGCAGAATGGAGAAACATGAAAGGAAAAAATAGCTACACATTTCCTTTTCTTTGATAAACTGAACATTAATGTATAAATCAACCATGTATTCCCTGCCAATTCCCAGACCTCAGTAAAAACCACCACAGAATCATTTATTTACCTTTATTCTTCCTTGTAAGGACCTCAGCCTGTTCCCAAAGGTCAAAGGCAGTAAGGACATGGGAAGTGATGGTGACATAGGAAGATGTCATGTTTTGAATGGTGACTGGGGTACTGATGGTGGCAGTTATCCCGCTGCTCCCCACACTGCCAGCACTCGACTGGGACCCTCCCGAGCTGGCAGGAGAAGGCATGGGGGAAAGAGGGGATGGTGTGCCTGTGCTTCTGGAAGGTGGAAGAGGAGAGAGAGAACTGGTTAATGACAGATCTTCCTGTCTCTGGCATGGCAGTCCAAGTCACAAAGTTTCAGTGTGCAGCAGCCCAAATGATAGTCACTCCTACAAGTCAAAGAAGCATCCCTTCACTATTAGTATTTTGGGACTCTATTCCTCAGAAGGAAGGTCGGATAATATACTTCCGTAGTGATACTGCTTTGGAAACCCAAAGAGGGGTCGCTATGAGTTGGGTCTGACTCGATAGCAAAAACCACCACCAACATTCATAAACACAGTGAGACTGGCCCAACAATCTGGGGCAAGACTGGAGCACGATCTCCTTCCCCAGACTCAGAATCAGGTGGGCTAATTCTACATTGCAAATATGCTTTTCCATGCCAATTCGATCTTCTATTTCCTCTGCCAAGAATTCCAGTCCTTCCCACCCCCAATGAATTTGTCCTCATAACTCCAGGAATACATCATAGTATCCTTTCTGCCACCACCTGCACTTACTTCTTTGACTGAATTTATCACATTACACTATAATTTTCTATTCCTTTTTCTGGGTCATAAGCACCAGGAAAACAGAGACCAATTTTTTTTTTTTTTTTTTAATTAATCTTTGCATCCCTAGCATTTGCAGAGTAGGTGCTCGGTAATTAGAAGCTGAATCAATGCATGAACTGATATAAAATGCCCTACAAGGAGACTGGGGAAGAATCATCATCTTTATTCTGTCCTTGACTGTTCACTCATGCATACAAATTACATGTGCCTCACTGTGAGCCAAAGGAGAAAAGACAAGTGAAATCACTTAAACATTAAAAAGTAAATGAACATAAGATGGAAAGTCAGGCCAGAAGAAGTAACTTCATTATACGGTATATCTGCCCTTGGGGCTGTATGGGTCCTATGTGTACCCAGCAAAATGTGCATTTTCAAGAACCAGTGTGGATGCTCCAAGAGGATGATTCTTGTCTCCTTTGTTGACTGTGATATCCTTAGCACCTAGAACAAGGTTTTGTACCAAGGAGATGCTTGATATATATACTGGCTGGACAAATTGTTGAAGTTATTTTTAAATAACATGACTGGCAAGCTACTAGCTAAGAATAATTATCTCAGAATTAGCGTGGTGAAAATGTTCAGAGGTATGCAGATATTTCTCAATAAGGGCTTTCTTTTTTAAGAAAGGCCACATGGGAGCCTCCTCTTTTGAATGCATTGGGAATGAAGGAAAAAAAAAAAAAGACTAGGGAAGAACCATCTCTCTCCACCTCGAGAATACCTGCATAAGGGTTCTGTTACACAGCATCTGACAGCATGTATAAACTTCAGTTCACAAAGCGGGGAAAAGGACTGTGCTAGAGATCATCATTTCACTTTCAGCCTCACTGCTATGAGTCCTCTATCAGGTAGAGGGCATATGACTCTGGAAAGTTCTTGTTTGCTGAGATACCAAGAAACATGTCATACAGAGGGAGGGAGGACTTTGGCTCTGGGTCTGTTTTGGCTCTGCTTCTAGTTATTTTTTTGTTTTTAGCCTTGTCTAAAGATTTTCAAAGCTCTAAAATTTTAACTCTATGTTCTTTGTGATTATGTTACCCAATAAGCAACCACCTTGATTCCTCAAACAGGCAGTAACATACCAATGATTTAAGACTTAATAGCAAATCAGCACAAAGTATACTTTTGTTTTTTATTTTAAATTAAAGAGTAGTATACTTAAGCTTGTGTGTCAACTTGGCTGGGCCTGGTTGAGTGGCTGGGCAGCTGGGTGTAGTATTCCCCATGATGAGACTGGTAATCAACTCCATGGTGGAATCTACTGTAAGCAGCTGACTAGCTGCCTTAGGGATGTGGTCTGCTTCTTGTATATAAGAAGCCTTGGGGAATGGTCTCTAGCTTATAGCATGCTTGAACCCTCATGTAGCCGTGTCGTTGTTCAGCAGCTCTGCCGATCTCGGGACTTTTAATGGACTTGAATTAATGGCCTGCCATGTGGTTTGGAAACGTCGGGACTGTGCCTTTTTACTTGTCAACCTTGGGCTTGTCAGTCTCACCAGCCAGCAGCTGCTTGAGTGAAGAAAATCCTCCAGTGGGCTGGGAACAGGAGGCACAGCTGAAGACCAAGGTTGAGGGGCTTTCACCCAGTCCCTAGAGCCTGACACTTTGAACTCGGACTTAAAGCCTCCAAACTGTGAGTGAATAAACTCCTGTTTCTTCAAGCCATCCTATTTGTGGTCTATTCCTGTCAGAGCAGCACTAGAGGTAACCAGAATAAGAACCAAAGTGACATGTTTATATAAATGGTTGTCAAAGCAAGAGGTAAATAAATAAATGACTCGATTTTGGATATTAAATTAGATTTATAGTTACCTTGCAATGCATGGAGAAGGTACCTGGGTAACTTTGGAAGAACTCTTGAAGTGTTCATTGAGAGTACGAGAATACTTCATTGCTGTGTCTTTTTTACAACGAAACATAGCCATGTTCAAAATGGACTGGCAACGCATGCTATAAACATGAAGGAAAAAAGAAGTTAAAGTGAAGTAATACTGCCTTGTGGGTACGTCTATCACTATTACAAAAAAATACCATCTAATTTTTTATAGCCTAATGAATACACTGGGTTTCCTCTTACGTGAGAAGAAGGAAGACTATCTGAGGAATCTTACTGGTCTGTGCACTCTATTACCAAAAGTCAATACTGGTAGAAAAGAAGAAACACACAAGGATATAACTGAAGTCATAAGGCCAAAGTATTCACTGAGTCATCAGTAAAATGGCAGCAGAAGCCATTTCATACAATTAACTATCAGTGGGATTAATGGTCTTGACTTACACATCCTGATACTTTCTACTACTGACTTCCTGCATCATAATTTTTACATTTACAAAATAATTAAATTTCAAAATCTTTTTGTACCATCAAAAGAAGCAAATACAAATTTAGTACTGTTTGGACAAAGAAAAAAGTACACACCATAAAACAGCAAATATTCTCTCTTGTGTTGGTGTTGTGGCATCTGAGAAGGATTTTAATGACATTATGAATCTATAGGAAAATATAAAAGTATATCAGGTTCAGCAAAGGCAGTTAAAAATCCCAGAAACTAATAAATCTTATTATGTTTGTTGTAGTTTTACATTGATATTTCCTGAAGATGTGAAGACATAAGAGCAATGCAGAAAAATGAGCCTAAGAGCAATAATCCAGGCCACTAAGAAAATAGGGTGAGAAAGCATCTCACTGTGGCCTGATTACCTGCTTGAACCCAAGTCATGTCTCCACTGACACTCTTGAAATACAGGTAACAAGGTGTAGGGGGTTTAAGCTGCGAGGGGAGGACATCCGATAAGAAAGCTGAACTGGAAAAACTCTCCCTAAAAGGTTTGGCATTTCACAGTGCATTTGGCAAAATGACGCCGCTGGACCACTAATTCTGTTCTAACACTTCCCCTAAAATGTAATTATTTTAAGTTGAGGGGAAAAAACAAAAATTTTTTTTTGACCAGTAACTTTTTTAAGGCTTCCTTCTACTGAGTTGCCTCCATGCTTCTGTTCAAACAGATTAACGCAATAAAGTTAGTAAAGAAAAGTATTTAAGAGGATCATGAATTACTTGGCACTTACTTAATGAGATCTATAGTTTCTGAGTATACAGAATAAGCTGACTTTGACGCTGGGCTTTCCGATTCTATGGCAATTCCACACTCAATAAAGGACAAGACAGCTTCCAAGTACTTAAAAGCTTTTCCGACCTTGTCCGTCTGTAGGAGAAGAACATGGTCATTGTTAGGCCTAAGAGAGATGTCTATTTAGTTTCTCACCCACATTTTCTACTGTAACTTTCCTCTACTGTCGTAATTTAATTATGGCTAGAATACAAGCGTGAGACTAAATGAACTCAAGATGATAATCAATGCCTGTCACTTCTGACCTAGTGAAAATTTCCTGTTAGCAAAAATTCTGTAGGAAAAATAAAACAATTCTGTATTAAGACTGTTCTCTCCAAACCTTAGGAAAGTATAAATTTAAGCTAAGGCAGTAACTCTATTGTCCCTTTGTTACAATGTGCAATTATTCATTATATAAGTCTCTAGAGAAGGAGATTATTCTACACATCAAGAGTAATGCAGACACAAATCTCTCTGTATGTACTGAAGTTTATCTTATTTTAAGTAGAAAATATTTATTACAGATTATGAGGATATTAGAGATGCCTAACAAACAACTGCTTTATGCATTTTAAGAGTCCAGTGGATTATTTAATCTCTCTTGGTGCCTGAGCTAAGTATACAAGGCTATTCCCTGGGCCAATAGGGATAAAATTTCAGAGTCCCTTAGAGGGAATGTGAAAATATGAATATAATCAGATGGTGGTGGTGATTCTAAACCTGAATACACATGTTATCACTAACTGGCACATGGCCAACAACTAAAAAGACAGTGAAGAATAGCACTACTTTTTCTCTAAACATAGCACATGTGCCAAACATTGTAAAAGCAAGGGATTAACATGACATTTGCAATTCTGTTTATAGTTTTTGCTCATGTTCTCACATTTGATGTATTTGAAAAGAAAGAGACTGAGAATAGTAAAGATACAAGTGATGTATCAGCAAAAGAAATGATTTAGGGCTGTTTCTTAATTTATACAAGGAGCCCTGGTGGTGCTGTGATTAAGCTCTTAGCTGCCAACTGAAAGGCCAGCGATTTGAACCCGCCAGCCACTCTGCAGGAGAAAGATGGGGCAGTCTTTACTTCCTTAGCCTTGGAAATCCTATGGAGCAGTCCTACTGTCTTACAGTGTTCACCATGAGTTGGAATTTATTTGACAGAGCTGGGCTTGGGTTTTTGGGTTTCTTAACTGCATATCATTCTTCTGTTTTGCCAGTAGTAGAACAAACTGGGTTGTTTATATGTATTCAGAGTACTTAATATTTTAGGTAACATTAAAAAAAAATTTTTTTTTTAATTCTTTTTCTAGAGAATCCAAAGCTCAGAAAATTAAGTGACATAATAGAAACCAAATTAGCACACACCAAGTAATCAGTAGTGTCTGGCCCGATTAGTTTGCTTCACTGGTGGGACTCTAACTCTCTAAGTTTATTCATTTACCATCTCATTTACAGAATTTCCAAAATTAAAACTGGGCTTAGTGCCAGAACAAAAGAACTACAGTTTAGTAATTTGTCAATATCCACTCTGAAGTATTTTTTTTAATGCTGATAGTGAACATATTCCTGCAATAACTGTGTATCTCCTGAAGCAGTGTTAAAAGCTGTAGAGTTCTAATTTCCCGACCTGACAATGAATGCAATATAGAGATGACTACACTCCTCTCTACTCAGCTGTGTAACTCTTAACTGTTTGTGAATGTCAGATGAACATTTCTGAGACACTGCCAGATTAGAGAAAGAATATTATGGAGAAGGTGGCCACACAAGTTACTGTTCAAAATGGGATCTTTTGAGAATATCCCACAACAAGCATAAACCAAGACTATCTTAGGCACTGGGATGTATGGTCACCTTAGATAGAGGAAAAGAAAGTATGTGTATATACAGAGTAAAAACAAACAAAAAACCCAAAGTTTCCTGGAGTTATTAGTCTTACTTGCTTGAATAATAAGGGAATCTAGTAATGAAAGTGTCGAATGTCAAGTTGTAAATAACTGGCTGACAAAGTACTGAATATGTACCCTTTTCAAAACTAAAAAAAGATTCATACAGTTCTAGCAACAATCTTGGAATGTTAGAAGATGTTGAAAGATCCCCATTGTTTGGTATTGTCTTAGACGTTTTCATCTGACGCAGGCCATCCTGGTACAGGGTAGTTTAAGGGATAGGTCTATAGCATCTTGTAGCATCCAGTATGGCAAGAACTCAATCAACATTTTGCCAAGATGAATGGTTTTGTGATGAGAGTGCCTCTGTTCACCCTCCTAAGCCCAAGAATAGACATGCAAGTATGCAGATTGGGGCTGAAGAGCACCAGTTCAGGATCCCAACTGCCACCATGATCAATCAGAGTCAGACCCCTGTGGTTTCTGGAATGCATGGTGAGGCTTGCACATTAAAGGCAAACTATGCTGCTTCGCCCCATGGCACAAAGTTCAATCTATGACCTTCCAAGGAGACAGGTATATGTGTGGGAGCTTAGATTTGGGGAATACCCTAGAGAAATAAAAGCCCTAAAGAGTCTGAGATGTTGAAATATGACAAAGAGCAAACAATATCTAATTATATTATAGCAGAGATTTAATTATGTATACAATTAAATATGCATTACAACCACCACCTTCCAGAAAATCCAACAGCCACAAAGTAAACAGAGTTCATTTATTTAAAAGTATGTCTAATGACCTTGGTATTCTATTCTGTTCCATCAGGTCAGTCTTTCAAGGCCTTTAAGATAATATTGGAATACAAACAGGCTTCCTCACCTTGGGAAATATCTGCAGGCTGAACACAAATCAACCAACTATTAACAGCAAGACTCCTTTTTTACATCCAAAGAACTGATTCAATGGCAAAAGGGCACATGCATGCATTAAGACACCACTAACTAAGTCAACTTTCACTCACTTTGATATAAAACTTGTAGATTTTCCCATGGTTAATTGAGTCAATGGAACTAAAGAAAATAATTCCACTTAGAGAACTCCTTACTCCTCTCACTCATTAAGATGCTGATTATCCTGCCAATTATTAAGTCCCAAGACATTCCTCTTTCCTGCTGACACATCACACTTACTAATATAAAATACTGTAGGATCAGACTACAAACATTTTTATCAGAAAACATTCCATCAAAGGGCTGAAGAGCCAAGACTGACCATTGACTCTGCTTTGTACTTCAATTTTTTGGCCTCCTTCATGTGAATATCTGCTTGTTGTCTGAAAGAGAAGAGGAAAAATCATGGGTGGGTCATATGAACCTAAAATTACTTGGCTGGGGCAAGACGACTTAAGAAGAGTAAGAAGAGGATGAAAAAGGATGGAAGAGAGTGAGGGAAGGTATTGAACAAAGAAGGGGAAGAAGAGATGAGCAGGAGGGGAAAGGGAGAAGGTGAGGAGAAGAAGAAAGAAATGGCAGAAGAAAGAAAAAAGGAGGCAACATCCAAAGTCTTACTTGTCAAACTTCACTTGAGGTTTCCCTGGTTTAGAGTTACCATTTGGCAATGAAGGCACTGGAAAAGGATTTGCAGTATCTCCAGCAGATCCCTTTAAAAGAGAAAAAAATTATATAGATCATACTCTAAAATTTAAAATCATTGTTCTAAAAGTACCATCCCTCTTAATTACTCCAAAATAATAAAATTAAAAAAAAAAAAAAAAAGGAAATCAATATTGCAGAATTCAGTGCTATCAACTACTTTTCTAGCTACAGATGCAACTGAAGGTAAACCTATAGGTTCTTACTGCATTGTAGACTCAAAAAACAGATACAAGACAAGAAATTCCAGGAGAACAGATCATTAACAAAGTCAAATGTGGTATGTTCTGTTAGTCAACACACACACACACACACACACACACACACAATGTTAACATGAAGACAAAATTTTATTTGAAAAAGTAGATACTGTTCCCCATTATAACCAATAATAAATATTAAAATAGGATATGCAAACCAAGAACTAAACAGAGCAGCCATTTCTTACTGCAAAAATACCTGACAGACCTACAAAGGGCAACCAGTAAGAATAAGCTTGGATTTCTCAGCAGAAACCATGTAGGTGTGAAGGCAATGTGATGATGACACATATAAAATCCTGAAAGAAAGAACTGCCAACCAAAAATTATATACCCAGCAAGACTGTCCCTCATGTATGATGGTGAAATTAGGACAATTCCAGATAAACAGAAATTAAGGGAATTAAACCATCAACATTACAAGAGATGCTAAAGGGAATCCTTCAGACAGAAAACTAACAGCAGAAGGAAGGCAACAACCTGAGATTAAAGACACATGACACTATTACCCAGAAACCAACCTAGATATAGAAGTATCCAAAGTAAAATAAACTTACAAGATTGTAAACAGGGAACCAGAGACATCAACTTATAAATGAAGACAACTACAAAGCAAAAAGAAGGAATAGTATAGGTATAAAACTTCTAAATGCAAAGGAAGTCAAGACTATTTTGAGACAGAATGGACTGTTTTAACTCAGGAAGAAAATAATAAATCACAAGGTAACCTTAAATAAATAAAACTCCACATTAAAATAAAAAAGAAGGCACAAATATTTAGCAAATACTAAAACAATAGCAATGAAGGAAATGATAAAATTCATAAACAAAAATGCTCAGAGTAGAAAATTACATGGAACAAAGAAATCAGCAACACTACTACAACAAAACAAAACAAAAAACCACACACACACATATAAAGAAAGCAATAAATTCATACTTGTTAATAATTATAATGAATGTAAATGGATTAATTGTACCAATCAAAGCACAGAGTTCCAGATTGGACAAGAAAACATGAACCATCATGCTGTTCACAAGAGAAACACCTTAGACTCAAAAGACAAAAACAGAGAAAAAGGTTGGAAAAAAAAAATATCAAGTAAGTGGCAATCCAAAAAAAAAAAAGAAATAGTAGCAATATTAATTTCTGGTAAAATAGATTTTAAGACAAAAACCACCATTAGACAAGGATCCATCGACAAGACAGCATAACCACAATAAATGTCTGCGTATCCTACAAAAAAATCAAAACCAAACCAAACCATACTCACTGCCATCGAGTTGATCCCAACTCATAACCACCCCTATTGGGTTTCCAAGGCTGTAAATCTTCACAGAAGCAGACTGCCTAATTTTTCTTCCACAGAGTGACTGGTGGGTTCAAACCATCAATCTACTGGTTAGCAGCCAAATGGCTTAATCACTATACCACCACAGCTCTTTGCATACCCAAAATGCATAAATCAGACTTTAAAAGAATTTAGAAGAGAAATAGATGACTCCAACAGTAGGAGATATTACAGAATACTTTTAAGGAAGGATAAAACAACTAGAAGAAACTCATCAAAGCCACAGAAGAACTAAACAATGTAATTAACCAATTTGACCTTGCAGACATATACAAAGCACTTTACCCCAAAATAGCACAATATACATACATTCTTTTCCAGAGCACATGCAAAATTCTCCAGAATAGACCATATGTTAGGCCACAAAGGAAGCCTCAATAAATTTAAAAACATCGAAATACTGCAAAGTATCTTCCTACAAGATAATGCAGTAAAATTAGAAAGCAAGGATAGGAAGATCAAGGAGGAAAAAAAAAAAAGGCAAGCAAATGGAACTCAGTAACAACACCCTCCTTAAAAACTACTTAGTGGGTAATAGACTAAATAAAACCTGAACTAAAAAATATTTCTTTAATCAAATCAGAATGGAAGCACAACATACAAAATCTTTGGGACACAGTAAAAGCAGTGCTCAGGGGGCAATTTAGAACAACAAACACACATCAAAAAAGAAAAAAGACCCAAAATCAACACCTTAACCTCTCAACATCTCCAACAATTAGAAAAAGAGCAGCAAAAAAAGCCTATAATCAGAAGAAATAATAAAAATTCAAGCAGAAAAAAAATGAAACAAAAACAATGAGAGAAAACTCGGTAAGTCTAGAAGTTGGTTCTTTGAAAAGATTAATAAAATCAACAAACTGATGGCAAATTTAACAAAGGAAAAGAAGGAGAAGATTCAAATAACATGAATAAGAAATGAAATGGGTGACATTACAACAGAAACAACTGAAATAGAAAGGATATGAAAAACTGTACTCTCACAAATTTGAAAACCTAGAAGAATGAACATATTTCTAGAAAAAACAACTTATCTTAGCTAACACAGACAGAGGCAGAAAACTTGAAAAAACCCGTAATTAAAGAATAAATTGAACAGGTCATAAAAAATACTACTGACAAATAAAAGTCATGGCCTAGACAGTTTCACTGGAGAATTCTACCATTCAGAGAAGAGCTGACAACAACCCTAACGAAACTATTCCAGAACACAGAAAAGGATAGAATACTCCAAATTCATTTTATGAAACAAGCAAAACATTGATATCAAAACCAGGCACAGACACCACTAAAAAGGAAAATTACACATGAATATCCCATATGAACACAGATGCAAAAATCCTCAACAATATCCTAGCCCACAGAATCCAACACTATGTATTAAAAAAAATACAGCATGACCAAGTGGGATTCATACAGCTATGAATGATGCAACATTAGAAAAATAAGTAATCCATCACATAAATAAAATAAAGGAAAAGAACCACATGATCATATCAACAATGCAGAAAAAGCATTGGATAAAATCCAACACCCATTCCTGATTAAAACTCTCAGAATAACTCATCTCTAGAATACTCCATCACCTCAACAACAAAAAAGACAAATAATCCAATTAAAAATGGGCTGGAGACATGAACTGACACTTCACCAAAAAGGATATTCAGGTGGCCAACAAAGATGAAGAAATGCTCACAAACATTAGTGATTAGAGAGCTGCAAATGAAAACAACAATGAGATACCATCTTGGCCCAGCACTAGTGGCAAAGTTCAACAAGACAGAAAATAACAAATGCTGGTGAGGATGCAGAGAAATTGGGACTCTCATACACTGCTGATGGGACTATAAAATGATACAACCACTACAGAAAGTAGTATGGCAGTACCTTAAAAAGTTGGAATTAGAAATACCATTTGACCCAGCCATTCTATTATGAGGTATATATCCTAAAGAAGTGAAAGCCTGGACAAGAACAGATATTTGCACACCCATGTTCATCACAGCACTATTTACAATAGCCAAAAGATGGAAACAACTAGGTGCCCATCAACTGAAGAATGGATAACCAAACTATGGTACATATACACAATGGAATATTATGCAACCTTAAAGAATAACGTAGAATTGGAAAAACACCGCCTAATGTCGATAAACTTGGAGAATATTATGCTGAGTGAAATAAGTCAATCACAGAAGGATAAATATTATACTAGTCTGTTACTGTAAAAAGCCAAGGAAATGTTTATATATTGAAGGAAATTTTCTTTGTTGGTTACCAGGGGTGTGTGTGGGGGGGGGAGGGAACACTGTTAGATAGGTAGAGACAAGTATTGATTTGGGTGAAGGGAAGGGCAATGTACCTAATGTGAGTGATCAACATGGTGGCATTGAAGAAGACGACGACAGAGAGAGGTACATGGGAGGTATAGACAACAAAGATGAACCCTTTTGCATATACAGTACTGCACTGTCAGTGAAGGCAAACATGGCTATATGGGTGGACAGATGGGTGGACAGGCTGAACTATTAGGTACATCTATGTAGGGGCGAGTGTGCCTGTGACCATGTATAGGGTTGGCAGATTATGTTTCTACAAGTGTATTGGTATGTTCTGTAAGAATTCCCAGGTATACAGTAGAGCTGACAAGGGACAAAGTTGTAGTCACTGCTTGGCCACAGCCAGCTAGCTACCCAGAGGGAGCAAGTAGTTGGACCTGTGGGCTTGGGGCAATAGTCACAGGGGACATCAAGCTCAATTGGCATAACATACTACACAAAACACTGTTCCACATTCTACTTTGGCAAGTAGCGACTGGGATCTTAAAAGCTTGCAAGCAGACATCTAGATGCAACGATGGGTCTCTCATTGTCCAGAGCAAAGAAGAATGAAGAAAATCAGAGAATGGCAACAATTAGTCCAAGTGACTGGTACCTGAGCCTATATGACTATGAGACAAGAAGAACTAGATGGTACCTGGCTACCACTGTCAACCACTTGGAGGGGATCTATGTAGGAGATCCTGGATAGAGTGGGAGAACAATGTGGAACAAGACTCAAAATTATTTGAGGAAAAAAATAAATAAAAAAGGGGACCAGGTTTTCTGGTCTGATAGAGGTTGATGGAATCACTGAGACTATGGCCCCTAGCTGCCCTTCAGGTCTGGAATTGAACCCACTCCTGTGGCTTCCAGCCAAACAAAAGACAGGCATATGAGCTGAACATTTACACTAGGTAGATATACTCCTTGAAGAGAACAATCATGGGAGAATAGAAGGGCTCTGTATGTATGTACAGGGACACCGCTCAGGGGGCAGGAGTGCACAGAGAGAAGGACATAGGGAAGAGGTAACTATGGCGAGGAAGTGGGAGGGGATCTGTTGCATTGTGGTAAA